GCCAGTCTTGGCTGCACCCCCCTTGCGTGTAGTATGTCTCTCGGATGGCCGAGCTGGTGATTGGAACGAGGCGACCTTCATATGGTTACAGACACAGTAGTTGCCAAGTTTGTCATCCAGATCTTTGCAGTTCCATTGCATCGGGTTCAGTTCCAACCCCGAAAGCTTCGTCGTCTTACAACAGACGGCCGTACTAGGTTACGGCACAATGCAGGTCGGCAGCCTCGAATTTTGTGAATTGGGCTGCTCCTTCGCACCGTTTTCCTAAAGCATCACGAGCATGCGCAGCTCGCATGGGTCTGTTGGCACGACGGGACATAGTGACAAGCGAGAGGTGTCGTTCGCTCTTCCCCCAGTTCGAGTGGTCCAGAAAGGCATGAAGAAGTCGGTGACTATGAGGTATTTGCGCTACGTACGCATGGACCGGTCTTTACCACACAATCGATTCAGTGCCCGAGTCTTCAGTCACAGGTACGCGCGAACAACAGCCGTACAGCAAGGGTTGCATGCGCCCTATATTCAATATGACAGAGTCGGCCAGCCCGCACATGATGATGGTAGCGAAGGAGACTGTGTACAAGTCAACGGACGAAAGAACAGAACATGTGTTTGGAAGCCGTCGTGCTTGACAGCGTACTATGCCAGGCTCTTGTTTGAGTGCTGAGGTCTAAGCATTACTGTGTTACCGTGTCACCTGCACCGTGTGGCTAGCCACATCTGCACGACGAGAGAGGTATTGAAGTACTTCGATGGTGAAGCCTTCCTACCAGGAGTCTTCACGAAGTGGCTGTCTAACGACGGGTACAAATCGCAACTGCCAGGTGCCGATCGGCTGGCTTGCGTTGCACATTTCACGTATTTGGAGTCCGGCACAGAGCATGGTATCGGACCTTCAGGGAGTGTCCCAAGATGGGAACCATACATTCACGGACCCGCAGGTGCTGTCAGTTGACCAGAGCTTCTGTGTCGCGGATTTGTGTCGTCCCTCAATGCAGCAAGTCTTGGCATTCCATACGTGTGAGCGTTTTTTGCAAACAGTTGGGGATTGATGGTTTCCCGGCCCCCTCGCCGCCGACAACCCCACCAACTGCATCGCATGATCCCCTGCTGGGACACATCAGTCGGCGAACGTGTGCACGGACGTACATTTTTTCTTCAAAGAAGAGGTTGCATTTTGTTGGCGAGTGTTTGTTCGGGTTTTGTTTGGCGGCTGCCAAGATAGCCAGCTTGCATGTGCTGAAGGGTACGGCCGTTCCGCCACACGGCGGGCTCGCCATGGTCAGCTTCTGACATTGCTTGGTCAGAACAGGGTGCAACGAAGATCGAGTATGACCGAAAACGCTCGATTCTTCAGCAAGCTGGCGTGAAGATCATCGACGCGAGAGACATGATATTGGATATTGGCTCGTTTGATGCATTGATTTGGCCATGCCTTATCCTGGCGATCTCAGACCTTAACCTTGAAGGACAAGCTTCGAGGCTTGATCCACGGCTTCGTGAGATCAGCTGCCAAGGGCTTGACAACCAACATTTCTGTGAGCGTAGTGCTCGTTGCCAGGCAACACTTGGAGTGGGGTCTGCGCGAGGTGGTGCAAAGCGATGTGGGCCCCATGGCACCGCTCGTGCAGGTTTTCAGGTGGGATGACTTTTTGAAGCTGGGGTACCTCCCTCTCTTTGCCGACCAGCATGACATGTACGATCAGGCTGCCCAGTACCACAAATCCAGCGAGGCCGTGATGGTCTCTTGGAGTGCGAATCGACCAATGGCGGGCATCACAGACACGAAATTGCAGAGACGAGTCGGCCGTCGTTATGGGCCAACTGGCCACGATGAGCGAGATTTTCAGATCATCCGTCGACACGGCCAAACGCAACTTAAATTATCTTGGCGAGGGACCCACCCATATGCAGTTGTGAACACCGTGGTTGCGGGTATTGCTTTCGGGGGATCTCCTCATGGGGCCACGAGGCATGCGAAGGGTGTGCCGAGATGAGGCGAGGCCGCCATGTGGGCGCTGTCATTGGGGCACTAGGTAGAACCCACTATGGTGCCGCGAAACATGTGTGGGGGGCGCCGCAATGTGGCGGGCCAGCCACCGGGGCCTTCGGCGGAGCTCCCTATGGGGCCACGAAACGCGATATTGAGTGGGGAGGCGCGTGCGAACACCGCCAGTGGGGCCTTCGGTGGGACTCCGTACGGGGCCACGGAACGCTGCACTGGATGGGGGAGACGCATACGAACACCGCCACTGAGACTTCGGTTGAGCTCCCTGTGGGGCCACGAAGCGCTGTATTGGGTGGGGAGACGCATGCGAACACCACCACTGGGGCATTCGTTGGAGCTCCCTATGGGGCCACGAAACGCTGTACTGGTGGGGTTCCCTATGGGGCCACGAAGCGCTGCATTGAGTGGAGGGAACGCATGCGGCACCGCCAGTGGGTCCCTCGGTGGAGCTCCCCATGGGGCCACGAAACGCTGCATTTGGGGGGGGGACACGCATGCGAGCACCGCCACTGGGGCCTGCGGTGGAGCTCCCTGTGGGGCCACGAAACGCTGTACTGGGCGGGGGAGACGAATGCGAACACTGCCACTGGGGCCTTCGGTGGGGCTCCCTATGGGGCCACGAAGCGCTGTGTTGGGTGGGGCAGACGCGTGCGAACACCGCCACTGGGGCCTGCGGTGGAGCTCCTTTTTGCGGCTACGAAACGCAGTATTCGGCGGGGGAGACGCATGCGAACACCGCCACTGAGGCATTCGGTAGAGCTCCGTATGGGGCCACGAAACGCTGTACTGATCAGGGGAGACGCATGCGAACACCGCCGCTGAGACCTTCGGGGGGGCTTCCAAGCTCCCCAGGGGGGGGGCGCGAAACAATGACGACGATGATGAAGACGACGACGATGATGATGATGACGACGACGATGATGCTGCTAATGACGGTGATAGTAGCGTTAATAATGACGTTGATGATAACGATGATGCTGATGATGATGATGATGATGATGATGATGATGACGACGATGATGATGATAATGATGATGATGATGATGATGATGATGGTGATGGTGATGGTGATGGTGATGGTGATGGTGATGGTGATGGTGGTCATGGTGATGGTGATGGTGATGGTGATGATAATGATGACGACGGTGATGGTGATGGTGATGATGGTGATGGTAATAGTGATGGTGATGGTGATGATGTTGATGACGATGATGGTGATGGTGAGATGATGGTGATGATGGTGGTGGTGTTGATGATGGCGATGGCGGTGGTGATGGCGATGGTGAGGGTGATGGTGGTGACGATGATGGTGCCAATGACGGTGATGGTGCTGATGGTGATGACGATGATGACGATGACGATATTGTTGATGATGGTGGTGATGGTGATGATGATGTTGTTGATGATGATGTTGTTGATGATGATGATGATGGTGGTAATGATGATTGTGATGATGCTGATGACGATGATGACGGTGATGCTGATGATAATGACGATGATGGTGATGATGACGATGACGATGACGATGATGATGATGATGATGATGATGATGATGATGATGGTGATGATGATAATAATGATGATGATGATGTTGATGATGATGATGATGATGATGATGATGATGATGATGATGATGATGATGATGATGATGATGATGATGATGATGGTGGTCATGGGGGGGAAGGGGGCAGGGCAGCGGGAGGGAAGGCGACGCGGGGCGCCATCTCTTCAAAACATTGACCTAACACCACAGGAGGGTTGGGATCAATAGCTACAGGGGGCCCACCATCCCATCCAAGCAGCAACAAAATCAGCAACGGCATCAGCACCAGCACCAGCACCAACGACAACTACAGCAGCAGCAGCGGAGGAATCACTGACACCAGCACTTTCACCAGCACCAGCAAGAATAGTAGCAGGAGCACGGGCAGCAGCAGAAGCAGGAGCAGGAGGAGCGGACAGAGGGTCTATGGAGGTCCCCGCGGTTCTGACGTCTGTGGTCTCTGGAAGTCCCCAGGGCCCCCAGACACCCCCAGGCACCCCCTGAGTCCTCCAGAGGCTTCTGGAGGTCCGAGGGCGGCCAAATGCGTTGCTTTCAACTTGGCGCGACGGGCCCTCGAGGAATTTCCTGACCTGGGCAGGGAGGCTGCATGGAGGTGGGGAGGAAGTGGGCAGGGAGCGAGGAGGCAGGAGGGAGCCTGGAGGGCGTTTGCTCGCCGCGGGGCTTGACACCCGTGTGATCCTGAATGTTTGGGCAGCTCCAGGCGGGTGGCGCATATGTACAACGTACGCCACGGCTTTGAAGCATGCTGTGCACGAGCCAAAAAACTGTCCCTCTTCCGGCGGGAGTCCGAGAAGTACCACCTTCGCAACCGCCTGGGAGATGGCTTCTGGCGGCAAGAACTACCGACGTGAAAGCTTCGCTCCTGCGTAAGCATAGCGCGCGCCTTTTGCGCGGCACGTTGCGGCAAGCCGGGCCGCGGCCGAGCGAGAAAGAGATAGAGAGAGAAATGAAAAACAAAAAAAATGATCGCGTCCAAAAGCAATATTATCCAAGGGTGTGCGCCAGCCCGCCGCCCGGCCGCGCGTGTGCTCAAGCGAACATTGCTGCAGCAGCGCGACGACGCTCCCTACTGCAAGCAGGCATTGCTGAAACTCTGCGCCGGCCAGTCAGGGCAGGGGGAGGAGGAGGAAGAGAAGCAGATGGAAGAGGAGGAGCACGAGAAGCAGCAACTCTGATTAGGGGCCCAACGGATCTGACGAGGACGCGAGGAGGGAGGAAGAGGAGAAGGAGGAAGAGGGGGCGGAAAACGCGAGACGCGTCGTCAGCGAAGCGCGCCGTTCATGAACCCTGACCAGTCACGCAGGGACCCTCAGGAGGGAGAGAGAAAGAGATGGAGGAGGAGAAAACAAGAGTTACAACCATACATCATCGTAACCACAGAAAGCAGCATCGTGCAACGAGGGGGGGGCGGCCGCCGCCGCCGCCTCGGAGGAGATCTGGAAGCCGCAGGGGTCCCTGACGCAGTCTCAGCTCGAGGGCACGTGGCGGCTCGAAGGCTCTGGGAAGCGCGCCGCGACGCCGGACTGGCCGAGGCTCCGTCGATGGTCGTCGTCTTCGTCGCGGTGATCGTCGTCGGCGGCGTCGTCGCGCACCGCTCCTAGAGTGTCAGTACAGCTCCCGCTCAGCACAGCACGGCACTAATCGGACACCGCTCAGCACAGCACGGTAGAGTCATCGTAGTCATCCTCCTCATTCTCCCCTTCTTCCTCCTCCTTCTCCTCCTCATCCTCCTCATCCTTCTCCTCTTCCTGGGTCTTCACAGAGACAGCATCGTCCTCCCACCTCCTCCTCCTCCTCCTCCTCCTCCTCCTCTCCTCCTCCTCCTCCTCCTCCTCCTCCTCCTCCTCCTCCTCCTGTTCCTGTTCCTCCTCCTCCTCCTCCTCCTCCTCCTCCTCCTCCTCCTCCTTCTCCTCCTCCTCCTCCTTCTCCTCCTCCTCCTCCTCCTCCTCCCACCTCCTCCTGACGCTGACGCCGCTGATGGCGGTCTTGGCTTTCTCCTGACTCTATCGTGCTCTTAAGGAGAAGGACGACAGGAGGAGGAGGAGGAGGAGGAGGAGGAGGAGGAGGAGGAGGAGCACAAGCAAGACAAGGAAGAGGACAGAGAGGAGGAATCGGAGGAGAAAGGTGCCATTTCGTCGGGGAGTAGGAGGCTCAAGAAGGGCCTCCTCCGAGCGACTGATGCCAGGATTGGTCCCCTGGCTGCTCTCCCTGCCTCGGGCCGAGGGCTGCAGGCCGCGAGAGCAGCGCAACGTCTTTTTCTGCAGTGCACTGCTCTTGCATGACGCGTCCTTTATCGCGTAATGAAGCGGAGGAGGACGAGGGAGGGAGAAAGGGCTGCTGGAACCTCGGCCGCTCTCTCAGGCTGCTGCTGAACATGTACTCCGGTGGGCTCGGGAGACTCCTCGACATGGAGATGGCTTCGCAGCCCGAGGCCGCGTTCCCGGCAGGAGGGGGCGGTAAAGGAGGAGGAGGCGGAGGAGGACCGGCAGGAGCAGGAAGCAGGAGCAAAAGGAGCAGGAGGCGAGGAGGAGGAGGAGGACGAGGAGGAGGAGGAGGAGGAGGAGGAGGAGGAGGAGGAGGAGCAGGAGGCGAAGGAGGAGGAGGTGCAGCAGCAGCAGCAGCAGCACCACCACCACCAGCAGGCGAGGAGGAGACGGAGGAGGGCCTTCCCGCTCGAGGAAGCGGGCCGCGCTGTGCGGACAGTCCGACTCTGCGCCCGGCGCCCCGGCCTCCCGTGCGCGGCACTCCGCGGCGCGCTCCCCCCCCTGAGCGCCGGACTCGTTGGCGAGCACGGCACGATGAGGCCAAAGAGCTCACCCCGTCCTGGACGCCCTGGACCCAGAGGGCGGCAGGGCCGCACGTCGAGCCTCGGCCGCTGCACTACGGCCCCCATTCTGCCCGGCGGGAGGCCGCGTCGAGGAGGAGCTCCAGGATTGCCGAGGTCGGGTTTTGGGGCAACAAAGACTGGGGTGATGAGTGGGCGGTGGTGGGTGATATCATGGCTGGGGCCATGATGTCTGCCTGGATTTTATGACCCGCTCTTCTTCTTCTTTCAAGACGTCCCCTGGCCCCCCCTCGTCCGCGCACGTGCCTCGGGCCATGATTTTCGAATCCCCCTCTTGGACGCCCCCCTCTTGGACCCACCCGAGAGCTTCGGAGCGGCAGATGCCTGGCGGCATCGGAGCAGCGGCCGCTGGAGATGACTCGGTTCAAGATGGTCCCGTTCTGAATGTCTTCTCGACGGAGTCAGCTTGTGTTTTTGTTCGTAGGGGGCTCCAGGAAACTCGGAGGAGAGAGCCTGTCCTCTGGCTTCATCGACCAGACTGCGCAGCTCGATCTCCTCGACCTCAAATCCGCCGTAGGTTTTTCCTCGACTTCGTCTCAGGGGGGACCGTTTCGGGCCTTGGGACTGTCAAAATCGATCCGCGACGAAGGAGTAGCCACTATGGACCCCAGGAGGGGTCCAGAGACGCATCTGGCACCTTCCGTGCTCGGCCAAGGCCTTCCTGTACCTTGGCATGATGTGTGGGCCATCCTAGCCGAGAGTCTATACACCATCTTTGGACCCAGGATGGCTCTGGCCAGGCACGGTGGTGATGTACAGGTGCCTTTCTGGACAGGAGGCGCCCGCCATCTATCGCAGGATTCGGTGGGGCATCTCCGCCGGTCGCGTTCCAACGACGGGTGATGCTCCAGGCCGTGCCACGTCCCCGCTGCGGGCGCTCATAGTGCAGATCTGGCGAAATCTTGACGACGTCTGCGCGCCCCGAGGGGCGGCCGATTGCGGGCACCCGCGCGGACGAGGCGGTGGCGTTCGACTGGCCAGGGCCGCGCCGGACCTTTGGCCGCGATGCACGGCAGGGCGCGCATGGCCGGGCGGCAGCTGCCCCTGGCCGAGTCAACGCTGCAAGGGGCAGCCATCCTTGTCACGTGCCGCGGGGCGCGTCCGCGCGCGGCCTCGGGAGCCATGCGCGGCACACTCAGAGCCCACTCAGGCTGCAAGCACGACCTGTCACGGCCAGGCCAGCGCGCGAAGATCGAGAACGTAGCGGCCACTCCAGGCGCAGGCTTCGCATCATCGGCGGCGGCGCCGGCGACCCACCGTGCCCACTGTGATAGGTCCGACGCCAAGCACCCAGAAGTTCGTGAAACAGAGCAGCGGACGAGCTCCCTCGCCGCTGGGCACGCGAATTTGGGTGCGTGCACGGTAGCGGCGTCCACCGACGCCACCCGTCTGTGCTTCCTCGACGTCTTCTCCACGAGCATCACCGAGCTGCGGGCGTTCGTGGATATCGCCTGGTCCTAGGCAGGCTCGAGAGCGCAGCGCAGGGCGCTTGTCCGAGCCCTCCACGAAGCGGCGCGCCGCCACCGCGAGAGTGGGCAAGGAGCCCCACAGACAGGCCGACCAGGCGCATTCAGCAGTCACATAAGGGCTTGCGGGCGGGGCTGGTCGGAAGCACGCCCAGACTACGAGCCCGCTCGGATTTGCGCTGCGCGAGCTTGCTTTCGCACTCATCGTGCGCATGCAGTCGACAATGGCGCACGGGGCCGCCTTGCGCAGAACGCAAAGAGTTTCAGAGCGACGACGAACCGCATCTTGGAAAGAAACGCGGGAATCTTGTACCCGTGGAGTTCCAGGCACCCTTGCCCCCAGGCGTCAAATTCATTCACCATACCAGGCGGACCTTAAGTTCGACGGGACGGCAGCAGTCCTAGCCCTGGCAAAGTACATGGCGGGCTCGCGGGCGCAGCACACACAAGGGCAGTTGACGCGGCGGTGCCTCCCTGAGCCCTGAGCCACCTGCGCCGCATGCCGCGCCAGCCGCCCCCGCCCGCTGCAGTGAGAGGGTCGAAGCGGCATCGTGCTCCCAGGGGCAGGCGCGTCACGGAACCGCACGGGTGGAGGCGCTCCAGCGGGTAGCGCCAGCAGTGGCCCCGCGGCGTGCGAGATCAGCGCGGCAGCGCTGGGCGAGCCGCAGGCGCGGGTCCGACTCCGGCTCGGAGGGGGGCCTCGGGGAGAGGTTCCCTCAGTGGTACCCCCGTTTGGCGTTGCCTGACCTGCGCGCCCGATGCACGCGCCCCTGCGCGCAGCCAGCGCAGCCGCCCCCGCTCCACCCTTTGTGCCGACGGCCTACGCCGCGGACCCGCGAAGGCGCTGCCGCGCCGCCGCTGCGGACCCGCGAAGGCGCCGCCGGGGGCCCGCGCAGGTTCCGCGGACGCGCCGCGAAACCACGGCCCACCTCCCCGAGCAGCGCCCGCAGCGGGCTGACGCGCGGTTGCGGCAGCAAGCCAATTGGCAATTGAGTTGCCGCCCTCGCGCCCCGCCCCCACTGCAGAGCGCTGCGCCCGCCAGAGGCGGCGGCGCAGCGCGAGGCCCAGCGACCTGGCAGCGGCCGCACAGAGCCCCCTGCGCCCGCTTGCTGCGCCCCCGCCCCCGCCAGGACAGCGCTCGGCAGGAGCGCCCCCACCATCCGTCGGGGCCCCCACCCTGGCCCGCGGCGGCCCTGCCTGCTCCCCCCTCGTGGGTGAGCATTGACCCCAAGGCGCGCCCGGCGCCCTGTCCGTCCTCAGCTGCGGACGGAGAAGGCGAAATGGAGGAGCGGAGCAGACAGGGAGGAGGAGGAGGAGGAGGAGGAGGAGGAGGAGGAGGAGGAGGAGGAGGAGGAGGAGGAGGAGGAGGAGGAGGAGGGGGAGAGAAAGACATAGAGTAACAGGGAAAGTGAGACGGAGACGGTGACGGAAACGGCGACGGGTGGGAAAAGGAGGAGGGCAAAAAACATATTATGCACATGTGTATATACAACTATGGTTAAACCTATATATATATATATATGTATATATATGGACGTATGAAATGTCAGACTGACAAACATAACCCTCTAAAGGCACCCTCTAGCCACGCCTTCTAGAGGCCCCCAGGAGCCCATTCGAGGCCCTTCTGGAACCACTTTCTAGAGGCGCCTCTAAAGATCCTTTCAGGAAGACTTTTAAAGTTCCCTAGAGCCATGTAGAGAGACGAAATTGTATATATAACCTTTCGGCGCTTCTGAGAGCCCCCGAAAAATACTACATGTCTCTTCTGCTCCCTTGAAAGCTCGCGCATCCTGTCGATTGCCTGGACTGGACGCGCGGCTGAACCTCCAGACAGCGCACGGGCGCGAGCGCGCCTAGGTGCGCTCAGAAGCTCCCCTAGGCTCGGCGAAGTTGAAGGCGACGACGGCGGCGGCGGCGACCGCGACAAACCACGAGCGGGGCGGCGGCGGCGAAGGCGGCGACGACGACGGCGACGTCGGTCGGGAGCCTTGAGACGGGGGTCAATGCAAATGGGGGTCAGCCAGAGCGCCCGATCTTGCAGGATCCTGCAGGGCCAGGGTCGCATTGACCCGGGCTTGAGCGCAGGATCCTGCAGGATTTTGCAGGATCCTTCGCGTTGACCCGGGTTTAGGTGCAGGATCTTGCAGGATTCTGCAAGGCCTGATTGACCCGGGTCTGGATTGACCCGGGTCAGCAGATCCCCGAGTCGGCGACGGCGACGGCGACGGCGGTTGCGGCAGCGAGGACGACGACGACAATGTTTGCGACGGCGAGGCCCATTGACCAGAACGCGCGACGGTCCAAACGTCGGAACCCAGGGGAGCAGCTAAGTTAAATGTTTAAAGGAGCCGCCTGAGGAAAGCAGTAGAGCCCCAATAAAAGTCTAGAAGGCGCCTGGCCCCGTACCCTGGGCAAGCCGTCCTCGGATTCGATGGCTGCGCAGTGGTCAAACAGGATCCATGCGAAACACGTGACTTTCCCACCACTCGGATCCGTCCGAAGCCCAACGTGTTCGCACAGGATCCGCCCAAGAAGCTTCGGATCCGCATGGGATCCGCAGCGGGTCCGCACCCGGATCCGACGCCCGAGGCGACGCTGACACGCCCGAAAGGAGGCCCGCGTCACCGTCTGCGGGGGCCCCTGCACGCGTTTCCCGGCACCCTACGCCGCGCCCATTGCCCGCGACCTGCAGCCACATTTTGTTTCCCCACGATGGCTACGCCGACGCCCTTGTCTGGCTGGACCAACAGTCTGGCACCTTCGTGCGATTTGAGTCTTCGGGCCGAATTAACGTGACTTCCCGCCATTCGGACCCGTCCAAAACCCGACGAAGGAGGCGGCTCCAAGGGGGGCAGAGGGGTTGGCGGCCAAGCCCGAGAGGGCGGGGCTCTCCCCTAACGGCCTGGCCAGGTCTGGTACCGGAACGCCACCTTCCTGAACGCCTGGGATGGGGAGGGGAATGTGGACCCGAGACCCCTCCCGTCTCGGTAAGTGCGTCCTGGGCCAACCGAGGGGGGTTCCGTACCGCTTCCCGAGGTCAAGCCGCGAGGAATTCCCTCACTGGTCCCAGGGGCCGGGGCGGAGTGTTATGGGGGAGGAGGGAGCCTCCCAGTACTTGGGCAGGGGGCTTGCTCGTTGTCCTCCATGAAGTTCTCTCCCTCCCGTCCTAGATGACCATCTTGAGCTCCGAGTACAGCGGCAGCGGGGCTGGGGCCACCTGCGTCGCACGGGGGTGACACCGAATAGGTGTACGATTGGGAGTTCTGGGAGCCCTCCCCGCAGCCGTCTGCACCTCCTCGAGGGGAGCCGCACTGGCGCGCGGAGAGCAGGCTGAAGCCTGAACGGGGGAAGCAAGAAGAAAGTCCTCGGGGTTCGCCAAGGAGTGCTCGCACCGAGCATCTCTGTAGGAGGGTGGGGAGACGGGGGGGCCATCGTCGCGTCCACGTTCGGCGCCGATTCCATGGGGACAACACTGGGCCACTGAGGGAGCCCTGCGGGCTCCATCCGTGGAAATGGGATTAGGGACCTCGTTCGTTTCTCTCCCGCGTCTTCTGTCCCCGAGTCCTTGCGGCACCTCCGGCTCGTGCGGCGCTGGAGGGGGAGCTGCTGAAGGGGTGGGGGGGGGGACGCCGAATAGGCGTACGATTGGAAAGACACTCAGCCCTTCCTGCAGCTGGATCTGGGCTCCCTGGGGGAGGCGTCTGAGCGCACGGAGGGCGTGCAGAGTCCTGAAGGGGCAGTCCGAAAATAATGTCCTCAGGGTCAAAAAGAGGCCAAGCGGACCGGCATTACCAGGGCTCACGCTAGGCCCGTGGAATGCGCCTTCATGAGGCGAAACAGGAGGGGACTGGCAAAGGGCCTCGAGAGGCCCAGCGTTGGGGACAGCGCCCCTGGGGCGGTCTCTGGGGACCTCCAGGGAGTGCGAGCAGTCTCGGTCGCCGGTCCATGAGCGAGGCCGCAATTTCCGTTTTGGTTCCTGCCCATGTCTCCTGCTGGTCCTTCTGAAGGCACACGAACGTCTGGCGCTGGTGATGGCCTGGCCTCCGTTGTGGGGGGAGGTAGGCTGTCGGCCACGTCGGTATAGGGAGCCGTCCCCACTGCAGCCTGAGGCGAGCTCTGCCCTGGAGGGGGTTCGCCACAGAGGGGGCAGTTCTACGATGCTGTCGCGACTGAGCCGCCCCGTCGTTCTGTCCGTCCTTCGACCGACGTAGCGAGCTGATGCCGTTGCCCAGCATGGGGGGGCAGTCGATGAGGTCTGGGGGCGCGCCTGAGGGCGCGGCGGGACTCCGCTCCGTAGGGGGGTGCAGGCTGGATGCACCGCAATCAGTGTTGTCGTCTGCCAGCCCGTCATGATCGATATTGCCACCTTGGGGGACTGCAGGCTCTCCAGCGGCTGCTGGCGGGGGTTCCGCTACGCCCTCGGGCTGGATCAGGACGCTGAGCCCCGGGAACTGAACAGGAGCCCCGTCAACCAGGGAGGGGAGAGCAGTGACGATGTCGGGGGAAAGTTGGTTTGTCCCCACAGCCTCACCACGAGTGGTAGCTCCCTCGCTGGTACTCAGGGGGAGCCTCGGGGAACTCAGACACGAACTTTCGGCACATCCCTCACTAGTTCCCGTGGTCCTGGTAGGGGGGTTCACGTCCAGGGAGGCCCCGTCGGGGTCCATGGCTAGGCCACCGACCAGCGAGGGGGACCGGGCGGCGGCTGCGGGGGCCGAGCGGCGCGGGCGCGGGGACGGGGCCCCTTGCGTCGGGCGCCCCTTTGAGTTCGGGAGACCCCGAGGGGGGGCCCGCTCGTGGCTTGAGCCAGGCTACGGAACACACACACACGGAGATGGCAACGGAGACGGAGAGGGAGAAGACACGAGAAAGAAGAGGAGGAAGAGGGGGTCAGAAAGACAAGGGCGTGAATGAAGAAGATGATGAGGAAAAAGAATAATAATGATAAAAGAAGAAGAAGAAGAAGGAGAAGAAGAAGAAGAAGAAAGGCAGGAGGCGGAGGAGGAAAGAGGGGTGGGATCGACGAGGAATCGATGGAGTAAGAGGGAAGAAGCGGAGGTGGACGAGCAGAATGGAGGAGGAATCAGAAAACGAGCTGGAGTAGGAGAACGTGGCCCCACAGCCTGAGGTCACGATCTCGGCGAGCGGTGACGCAACCACACGAACCAAGCTGCGGTGGGGCTTCAACAAGGACAAGCGGGAAATGTCAAAGGGCCCACGCTGGCCTCCTCCTCATCCTCCCTCCTTGTCATCATCCCTCCTCCTCCTCTTCCTCCTCCTCCCCCTCCTCCTCCTCGCCCTCCTCCATCCTCATCAATGTGTGCCATCGCGTTGGCGCCGTCCACGGGCCCCGGGACCGTCAAAAGTTATAAAGGATAAAGAGTTGGTCTGGGGGAAAAGCCCAAGAGTCTGCAACACATTTCTTCCATAGTTTTCATGTAAATTAGAGCCGCCCCGTGCGACGGATGCTCAGCCGCCGCTTCGCTCCACACTGGCCTTCAAGGGGGGGTTCTGGAGGATGGCGGGGAAGTCCACGGGTTGTCGTAGAGGTCCAGAAGCTTTCGGGTGAGAGAGTGCAGACACGGCTCTGGCAGCAGAAGCGCTGAGCACGAGTTGGAGCACGTTGATAAGCCATGTCTTTACAACGCTGGTGGTCGTACCCTGATATTGCGTCAATGCCACGGCAAATTCGAAGCGAGCTCACCCTTTCCAGCTACTCGACGCGGGCGTCCTCGTGCTTTGCACTGCCACTTCACCGCATGAGCACCACGAGGATCGTACCCCCCATCGCGGCTTACTCTAAATAAATAGATGCGCCGCCCAGAATATGCCCTTTGGTTGCCAGGTGGCCAATGTTGAGCCAGGTAGCAGGCCCACCTCACCCCAGGGAAGGAGGGAAGGAGGAAGAAGGAGGCAGGGGAGGAGACGAGCCCAAGCGGGCACCACCCAAATGGACGCAGAGTAGCATGAGCCACCTGGTGCAGTGCAGCACGTTCCTTTTGTTTTCCTGGGGTACGCTTCGAGAATTATCCGTGCGATGCCGATGAGACATAAAGGGAGTACAATAACAGGGGCTGGGAGGGACTTCGAGGAGTCAAAAGGAGGGAGCCAGCGCGAGACCCATCGCGGACGTCGTCGTGCCAACGAGCAAACTCAAAGCCATCGTCCGTGGAGCAGGGGAGTCGGGGGGGCGGGAGCTTCGAGAAATCGGGGTGCCGTACGGAAAGGGAGCCGATGCCAGATCGATCGAGGACGAGGTCCTGCTCACGAGCAAGCTCAAGGTCATCGGTACTCGGGGAACTAACAGTGGCATAAACATAACAATTGAGAAGTCCGCACGGATTTCTCGGATCGACGCCAGACCTCCCGCCGCCACGGGGCCCCAGCGCCGATCCGACGAATCCGCGCGGACTTTCGTTCGAGGCTGTATGGTTTGCCACTGCTGTTCCACCAGGTACCGCCAGCTTGCGCGAGACGCCAGGGTCCATCCGCTCCTCGGCGCTCTCGCTTACGCTCCCGCTGGCGCGGCCCGCCCGGGACCTCCGCGTGGCCTATTCGGACGGTGGCCTCCTCGTCCTCCGCGACCAGTTCGGGGCGATGGACCTGCTGTGGCGGCAGGGCGCTGGTCATCCTCCTCCCTCCCTCCCTCCCTCCCTCCCTCGTTGCCTCGTCCCCCCCCATCCACCTCCACCTCCACCTCCTCCCCTCCTCCTCCTCCTCCTCCTCCTCCTCCTCCTCCTCCTCATTCTCCTTCTCCTCCTCCTCCTGCTCCTCGTCCTCATCCTCCTGCTCCTCATCCTCCTCCTCCCTTCTCCTCCTCCTCCTCCCTTCTCCTCATCGTCGTCCTCCTCATCCCCTCTCTTGTTTGATTTTGCACGGGCATGGATATGGGATCGTTGCGTTCTGGGCGTGCAAAAAAAGTACCGAATGCCGACTTAGACCGATAGCAAATTAAAAGTTTGGTGGACGCGGCATAAACGGCAAGGCGGATAGAATCGGAAAACGTAAGAGGGCCCTAAAGGGCACGCGTCCGCAATGCGCATTCCTGCTTGGAGAGCTACCTGCAGTTCCTCAGGTCACCAGGTTGCAGTGGTAGCAGTGTCAGGTCCCGTGGCACCGCGCGAAGCAAGCACGGGACCACACATCCCAGACCAGGCTCAGCAGAGGGGCCAGCAGGCAGTGAAGCGGCACCGATGCCAATGAGGTGCCATGTTGCACCCACCAGGAGTCCAGAAGTCAGTCAAACATCCAGCATGTACCCGCGGGCAAAAAGCCGAGCAGGCGACGAGGCGAGCAAGGAGCCCAGAAGGCTACGGAGCAACGGAGCATCCCATGATTTACCCACAAGTTGTATGGCAGTAGCAGTGCCCAACGCGTGTATCAGCAACCACGTATCATCCATCGATGAATGGCTTGGCGCTCACGAAAGGAAAAAGCCCAAGTACATAGGTACGTGGAGCAGAGAGGGAGGGGGAGGAGAAACGCCTCAACGCCAAATGGTGGTTGAGGCAAGGGGAGGAGGAAAAGGGGGGGAGAGGGGGGGAGGGCCCAGAGCCCAGACAGGTACGGACAGTGCCTCAAGGCGGTGGCGTTGCTCAGAAAGGTCAAGGGAGCAGACCTACTGAAGAATCCAAGCCCGCTGGGCCAGCGAAAAGAGGGCACCAACCACCCAGACACGCGATCAAACAGCCCACACCCAGGCACGAAAGCGAACAAGCGGCCCACGCCCTGGCACGAGCCCAGCAACGCAGACCCACAACCCAGGCACGTCTCCTCCTCATCCCCCTCTTCCCTCCCTCCCTCCCTCGTCCTCCCCTCTCTCTCCCCGTCGAGATCCCCGCTGTCGTTGCTCAGACGCAGGTCGTCTCCTGGGGTGCGGGGTCTGCACCTTGGGGATTTCGCGTGTACACAGACGGGAGTGGCCTGGCGTCGGGAACCCCAGAGGCCACGCGTTGTGGCTGGTCGGTTGTCTCCTTTTCTCCTGGGGGATGGCTTGTGAAGGCCGCTTTCGGTGCCATCGCGGGGCCTGTCCAAACGGTCCCGAGGGCCGAGCGCCAGGCCATCCTCCATGCTTTGAAGGTCGGGCCGTGGGGCTTGGAAGTTGTTTCGGATCACCTGTCGGCGGTCAAGGAAGGGAACTCGTGGGACCCTGGTCTGGCTGCTGGCAGAGGTACGCACGCTTCGGTTTGGAAGCAAATTTTTGAGCTGTACCAGGGCAGGGATGAGCGGCCTGTTTTCCGCTGGGCCCCTGCCCACCAGGATTTGTTTACGGTCTTTGAGGGCCAGGCGTTCCTTTGGGATGTTGTCGGTCGTAGGGTTGTCGCTTGCATTGGGAACGCTTGGGCCGATTCCGTTGCGCGACTAGGGGCTAGTGGGCACAAGCTGCCAGAGCTGGTCTCCTCAGTGTTGCGGGAAAAGATCAAGGATTGCTATGAGACGCTGGATTTCCTGTCTCGGGCGGCGCAGCTAGCCGCTGCAGCAGCTCCAGACTTGCCTGCTCCAGCGAGGGTTAGAGGAGACGGTTTCCCTCAACTCTCCTTGCGTTCTCATGATTTGGAGCTGGTGGAGGTGATCCCCGAGGCGGTGAGGTGCGCGTGGTGCCACTGTTCGGCGCGGACGGCCTTGAGCAGGAAAAAGTTCGAGCAGCCTGGTGCAAGATGTGCCCCGTCTCCCCTCCACCTGTTTCTTTCTGCTGTGCGAGCTTGGAGGCGCGGAGGCGCCCTTCCCAGGGCGCGATGTGTCGCCGTCCAGGACACTCTCAGGGCGCTGGGGTTCGAGTCAGCCACCGAGGCCCCGTCGGAGCCCCCTGACACGTTTGCCTTCGCGGGCCATGTGATACAGGCGTCTGGCCGCTACTTGATCTGCCGCCGCTGTGCGGCGCACTGTCTCATTGAATCACCGAGCTGGCAGAAGCTCCTTGCGCCGTGCTCGGGCGCTGCGTCTTCGGGCCAGGACTGGTTCAGGGACGAAGTGCTGGCTGGACGGGAGCCGCGCCAACCGCCCGCTCCCGCGTAGGGCCGTCGCCTAGCGTCGGCATTGCGCAGGACTGGGCGTTGGGTGCGGCTCGGCGCGCCCGTGCGCGCTTTAATGGGGGTGCGGGCCTTGCCTGCGCTACCCCGTGAGGTACGGCCTCCTCCACGT